GCGGCGGCGGCGGCCCCTCCCCGGCGGGCGCGGTTGGGCGGTGCGGCCCGTTCATCCCGGCCCGGCCGCCAGTCTGCCGGCGCTGCGGAGCGGAGGAGCGGCCATGGCGGCGGCACCGGCGGGTAGGGAGGAAGACCGGGGGGCCGGCGGCGGTGGGGCCGGGGGTGTGGGCGGTGTGGCCGGTACCGGACTAACGGGCCTCTCCCCCCTCCTCTTCTCCCCACAGAGGCGGAGACCCGGCAGCGGCTGCTGCGCACCGTCAAGAAGGAGGTGAGTGCGGGACCGCGGTGCCCCCCCTCCCCCGGGAGAAGCCCCCCGGCCCCTGTCTCTGCTCGGTGACCCCCGGTGATGGTGACCCCCGGCGACCCTCCCTGGCCCCGCGCTCGCCTTCCCGCAGCATCCCGCTGGCTCCTCCTGGAGACGCTGCAGAGAATTTAATAGAATTTAATAGAATCCCCCCCCACCCCCCAAAAATAAAGAACCCCAGCCCCGAGCAGGGCAGCGGGTGGTAGCGTGAGCCCGGTGGGCTCCAGCTGCCCCCCGCTTCCTGAGGAGCTGGAGGAGCATCATCCCCGCAGCACCGGCAGATCCTGGCACCCCGATGTCCTTTAGCAAATTGCCTGTCCCTGTGGGCAGAGCTGCCCTCACAACATGGCATTTTTCTTTTCCCCCCAGGCAGGGGAGAAGGGGTGACTTTGGGTGCCGTGTGGAGGTGGGACGAGCCCCTCATTGCAGCAAACCCCCCGTTGGCCGGGTGTTGGGGAGCCTGAAGAGAAAAATGGGGAGCGTGCACATGTGTGTTTGCGTGGCCAGTGCTGAGCGATGGCGGTCCACATCTGCCTGCTCTGGTCTCTCTTCTCGGGCATCTTTAACTCTGTTAGTTTGATGCTGCGTTTGATGCTGAGCTGCCTCAAGCTCCTTCTACCTGTGCGGAGTTTAGCGTTTATAACGTGCGTGGCGTTAACACAGTGAGCTGGGAGTGGGTGTAGACGGGGGAGCTGAGAGTCCCACAGTTCTGCCACGTCGTCCCTGTGTGGGCTCCTCTCGGTGGCTGCGGAGTCTGAAGTGGATGAACGTTGTGGGAGCTCTGCCGTGTGGTGGAGCGTTGGATCCCCATGGTCATCTCCTGCCTGTGCTCTGTCCCAAAAGGTCACCTCTCCTGGGATTTTGGTGGGTGTGATGTGTGACCCTTTAGTTTCTGGTCTTACAAGCATCTTGATAACCAGCTTATGGGCTCTGGGAAGTAGAGTGTCCCTGCTGGGAGCAGGATAACCAAGACCCATGGGTGGTAGGTCTGGGGAGGGTGACAGCGCAGCATGTTTGGCTATTCATCCAGACCGCTTCCCACCTTTAATCCTGTGCCGGGTGTGGTGGTAAGGAATACTACTTGTTGCCTTGGCAACAGCTATTAAACCAGAAAAAGGGTATGACATTTATTTAGCATCCTGGATAAAGCTGACATCTCATTATTACTGTCTGTCTGTGTGGAGAGAGACAGAACAGCAGACTCTGCGTTGACGGGGATGAGAGGCGAGGGCTGCCCATCGGTGTGATGATTGTCCATCAGTGTGCCAGTTAAGCCACTCAGCCAGTGGACAGGAGCTTCCTTCCCGAGACCATGGTGGCCTCCGCTGGCTGTCACTGCACATGAGCATCTTCCACGCTGGCATTCGGTACCGGCCTTTTCTCCCTCTGCTCTTCCTCCTGGGGCTGGAAGAAAGTGCAGCTTGTGCCGAAGGCAGGAGAGCGGAGGGTTGTGACGTGCTCTTTTGCTGGCTTTTTGGTAAAATAAACATAGTGTTACAAAGGTTTGGTGAATACAAGTGAAGGTTGAAGGAGAGAGGTGATGTATGGGGAAAGCCCTTCGGCCCTGGTGAAGTGCCACCAGCTGATGCATCGCGGTGCCGTGACGTTAGTGTTTGACAGTCTGGTGTCTCTCCAGCAGCCCCTTAGCAAGGGCAGTGCTGACGCAGAGCAGAGATTGTTTTTTCTGGTGGTCTCGTTGCTCAGGACGTCAGTGTGGATTTGGGTTCTTTGCCCACACAGGCAGTGGGGTGGTTGCTTTTTCCTTCGGGATGCTCCCAGCTCGGTGCCTGCTGGAGGTGGTGAGACCTGGCAGGGCTTTGGTCCAGCGAGGTGGGGTGTTTGTTCACAGCCACATGGGGTGGGGGGAGAAGTTCCATGTCAGACCCCTGCTCTGAGCTCTCTCCACCTGCATTTTGTTCTGTTAGATTTAAAAACACCTGGGGAAACATGATCCCATAGGTGATGTAGCTCATTATTTAGCAACATCTCTGAAATTGGGACCTGCTGGGGCATTCTGCCTGGTGCTCCCTGCTCGTTAGGCCCATTTTGCTTTTGTTTTTCCTTCCTCTCCTGCACTGACTTCATGATAATTCAGGAGCCTGTGCAGACTCCAAGGAGGAGTAGAAAGGGCCAACTGCAGAAATCTCCTTTTTTTTTCTTTCCCCCCACTATGTATTTTCATCTTATTAGACCATGTCAGCTTTTGCTTCAGCCATGGCTCTGTGTGATCTGCTGAGGTCCTCAAGTGCAGGTGAGCTCCACCGAGACTGGGGACAGCCGTGGGAAGCCACACAACATCTGTCATGCTAGAGCAATAACTGAAGGAATAAAATACTGTGAACTCAAGGTCTAATTAGACAAAGGAGATAAACAATAAACTGAAATTGCCTAAAGAACCACAACATCGCGGTGCCGTGACGTTAGTGTTTGACAGTCTGGTGTCTCTCCAGCAGCCCCTTAGCAAGGGCAGTGCTGACGCAGAGCAGAGATTGTTTTTTCTGGTGGTCTTGTTGCTCAGGACGTCAGTGTGGATTTGGGTTCTTTGCCCACACAGGCAGTGGGGTGGTTGCTTTTTCCTTCGGGATGCTCCCAGCTCGGTGCCTGCTGGAGGTGGTGAGACCTGGCAGGGCTTTGGTCCAGCGAGGTGGGGTGTTTGTTCACAGCCACATGGGGTGGGGGGAGAAGTTCCATGTCAGACCCCTGCTCTGAGCTCTCTCCACCTGCATTTTGTTCTGTTAGATTTAAAAACACCTGGGGAAACATGATCCCATAGGTGATGTAGCTCATTATTTAGCAACATCTCTGAAATTGGGACCTGCTGGGGCATTCTGCCTGGTGCTCCCTGCTCGTTAGGCCCATTTTGCTTTTGTTTTTCCTTCCTCTCCTGCACTGACTTCATGATAATTCAGGAGCCTGTGCAGACTCCAAGGAGGAGTAGAAAGGGCCAACTGCAGAAATCTCCTTTGTTTTTTTTTTTTCTTTCCCCCCATTATGTATTTTCATCTTATTAGACCATGTCAGCTTTTGCTTCAGCCATGGCTCTGTGTGATCTGCTGAGGTCCTCAAGTGCAGGTGAGCTCCACCGAGACTGGGGACAGCCGTGGGAAGCCACACAACATCTGTCATGCTAGAGCAATAACTGAAGGAATAAAATACTGTGAACTCAAGGTCTAATTAGACAAAGGAGATAAACAATAAACCGAAATTACCTAAAGCACCACAATGAGCAAATGAACTTCCATATTTGGTTGTTGCCATTGTTGATGCATTTTTATTTTTAATAAGATTTGCAGGTTGAAATGAGTTGTACTATCGCCGCCATCTCCCATATGGTTATAATAAATCAAACTCATCCTGAAAGCTGCAAAATTGACTATTTGTCAGCAGACTGCAAGGGAAGGAGTGGGAACACGACTTTCTGAGGAATCCTGTTTCCTGTTATGCAGCATAAGAAGCATAACCAAATCCTCTCTGATTTTCTCTTTTTTTTAGAGTTTTTATCAGTTGGAATGAGGCTCCTTGAAAAACTCAGAGCCTGAAATATCCAGGTTTATAAGGTGCTGGATTCTCAACTGAAAATACTCTTCTTGCAACCTGTGCTCCTCCCTTTCTTTTACAAGTTTCATTTTTAATGGAGGAGAATCCTGTAGTGTGTTTTTGATTACCTCCAGGTAATTGCATGGCATACAAAAATAGGTGGGGAAGCAGGTGTTACCCGTGAAATGCAGGCTGTACTTCACCATGCCTGGAAAAGGAGTTGTGTGAAAAGCTGAAGGGAATATGAAAGCAAACAGTCCTCTTGCTTATTCTTCTGCAGCAACTTAGTTTATATTTAACTTGCCGCTCAGCAAGTAGCTTTAAGTCTTTTACTCCTCAATAACCGTTGTGCCAGTATTGAGCATTTTGCTGCCTGTTCTTAGAATTTCTTTTAAAAACCATTATTGATTGACCGCAGCCTTGCTTGCCGATGCCCTGTGCTCTCCTATGGGATATAGTGCTTATTTTTTTGAATAGCTGGAATGCTTGTCGCTATGTAGCTGTTGACTAATTCCGTCATCTTCTGTCATCGGGACAACAGTCCCTCTCTCTTCCTCCCACCCTTTAAACGAAGCACCCCCGCTCCGCAGCCATATTGTCTGGTTCGTGGCTTAAATAACGCAGAGGGACTGATAAGAGCAATATTTTTTGCAGCTTGGGTTTGTTTTTCTGGAGCGTGTCTGTACGCCTCTGGTTCCAAAATATCAGATTGCGGGTGTCAATGCCAGCTATTTCATTCTGGATGGGTAGAAAATTGTAAATTAATTTAATGTTATTAGGATTTGAAAAATTAATGTTGAGAGCCTTAAATGTTCTTAAGGCCGATTTTTTTGTAATTTTTTTTTTTTAAAAAGGCCTTTGTGTAGCTGTCAAAACTGTTCAGGCAAAATGAAGATGAGGATGATAAGCTGCAGGTTTGTAATGAAAGCTGCTGTTTGCAGAGGGACCTTCTGATGTCTCTCAAGCACCCAGGTCAGCCTTTTTCAGATGTTCCTATATCAAAAGTAAACAGATGGCTTTAATGCAGCATTTCTCGATTGCCTGCATCGATCTCTTCTGAAAAGGAGTATTACTAATCGCTGGGGACCATTTTCTCTCCTTTTGAAGATAAAAGCAGTGGCGTGCAGAAGTGCTCTCATGCTCCAGAGACCCCTGGCTGGACCTCTCATACCCAGGACAGGCTTCTTGCTGCTTCTTTCCTTCCTTCATCTTCCTTCTCCAAGTTCAGGGAGACAATCTGTGTGGCAGAGGAGAGGAGCCTCCTTCCTCCTCACCCAACCTCTCCTCTCTGCTGCCAAAATGTCATCCTCCTCTCCTTGTGGCGTCCTGGCCGTTGCCATGGAAATACCTGTTTTTTTTGTACAGATTTGGGACTTCAAAGCAATTTGGGGCTGGAAGTTGCACCTGGCTTCAGTGAAAATAGTGTC